GAGCAGTGGGCCGCCATTGTGTGGCGCCCGGCGAGCAGTGGGCCGCCATTGTGTGGCGCCGCCACTCCCCTCCTGTGTTCCAGGACCAGGTTCTACAGCCCGGTAACCTGTGAGCAGATGGTTCTGATGGACAGGTGCTGTTCATCAGGTCGGTTTGGGTCACCAGGGAGAGTAGAACCGTTCTGCTGTGTGGACCTTCTGCAGCAGAAGGGTTCCGGACCCACCAGAACAGAAAGTCAGCAGAACCGGTCTGGTCTGCTGCCCTCCTGGTTCTGACCCAGTGGCCTTCAGAGAGCATTCAGGTCCTCCTGGTCTCCAATTGGACCAAACCCTCTGGATGCTGAGCTGCTGTGTCGGTGCTGGTTCTGTGGGCGGGACCATCTCTAGGTCGGGTCCAGTTGTGGTTCCGTTCTTCATCCTGTCCGTGTTTCTTCCAGAATTCGGCGGATGCTCCAGAGACCATCACCAGTCGGGACGCGGCCCGGTTCCCCATCATCGCCAGCTGCACCCTGTTTGGACTCTACCTCTTCTTCAAGGTGAGTTTGGACCGGACCGGCTGGTTCTGTCCTAAGCGGTTCCGGCGTCCCTCACAGAGCGTCCTCCGTCCCATAGGTCTTCTCTCAGGAGTACATCAACCTGCTGCTGTCCGTCTATTTCTTCGTCCTGGGCGTCCTGGCTCTGTCTCACACCATGAGGTAACACCGGCACCAGAACCGGCACCAGAACCGGCCTGGTGGCTGCTGTGGATCTAATGGGTTCTTTGTTTCTCAGCCCGGCCATGTCCAGAATCTTCCCGGCATCCTTCCCCAACAAGCAGTACCAGCTGCTCTTCACTCAGGGCTCTGGAGAGTCCAAAGAAGGTGAGTAGACCCGGTGGACAGAACCACCCAGCTAGCAGTTCTGCTAGCGGTCCACTAACTCATGATCTTTGAATCTTCAGCATTTTGTTGAATGTTTGGACCCGGCTGTCCTGTTCCGGTTCGAACCCTTTAACCGGGTCGCCTCCTCATCTCTGCAGTCACACCAGAACTTTCACCGGGCTCAGTGAAAGTTCTGCTGTGTCGGCTGTGATGGACAGCAGAGCCGGCGGTCCGATGCCTGTCCACCACAGACGGAGTACCGGCTGCTTCCTGCTAGGGAACGTTTGCAGCTATCAGAACCGTGACCCAGAGACACAGAACCCTGTGAAACTGGGCTGAGATCAGTCCCAGCCCGGTTACCAAGGTAACCGTTGAGTGTAAATGTTACGCCAAACTGAACCGGACCGACCCGACACTAGGAAGCGAGGAACCGTCCTAGCCTCGCTTAAACCACGCTACAACGGGCAAAGGAACCAAGCTGGGCGCGGCTAACTGATCCAGGATATAGGCTAGTGGGAATAGTTAGCATAGGTTAGCGGTCCTGGTTAACAGTCCTGGTTAGCGGGTCTAGTTAGCATAGGTTGGC